CACAAACTCATTATTTTTTATGGCTGCATAGTATTCTATGGTTTATATGTGCCCGTTTTCTTTGTCCAGTCCATCATTGATGGGCATTTGGGTTGGTTCCAGGTCTTTGCTATCTTAAACAGCGCCGCAAGAACATATGTGTGCATGTGTCTTTATAATAGAACAATTTATAATCCTTTGGGTATATACTCAGTAATGGTATTGCTGGATCAAATGGAATTTCTATTTCTAGATCCTTGAGGAATCACCACACTGTCTTCCATAATGGTTGAACTAATTTAAACTCCCACTAACAGTGTAAAAGTGTTCTTTTTTCTCCACATCCTCTCCAGCATCTGTTGTCTCCAGATTTTTTTAATGATCGCCATTCTAACTGGTGTGAGATGGTATCTCAATGTGGTTTTGATTTGCATTTCTCTAATGACCAGTGATGATGAACATTTTATGTTTGTTGGCTGCAAAAATTTCTTCTTTTGAAAAGTGTCTGTTCATATCCTTCGCCCACTTTTGAATGTTTTTTTTTTTTTCTCTTATAAATCTGCTTTAGTTCTTTGTAGATTCTGGATATCAGCCCTTTGTCAGATGGATAGATTGCAAAAATTTTTTCCCATTCTGTTGGTTGCTGGTTCACTCTAATAATTTTCTTTTGCTGTGCAGAAGCTCTAGAGTTTAATTAGATCCCATTTGTCTATTTTGGCTTTTGTTGCCATTGCTTTTGGTGTTTTAGTCATGAAGTCCTTGCCTGTGCCTATGTCCTGAATGGTGTTGCCTAGGTTTTCTTTTAGGGTTTTTCATGGTGTTAGTTCTTAGGTTTAAATCTTTAATCCTTATGGAGTTAATTTTTGTATAAGGCGTAAGGAAGGGGTCCAGTTTCAGCTTCCTGTATATGGCTAGCCAGTTGTCCCAACACCATTTATTAAACACGGAATTATTTCCCCATTGCTTGTTTTTGTCAGGTTTGTCAAAGATCAGATGGCTGTAGATGTGTGGCATTACTTTCGACGCCTCTGTTCTGTTCCATTTGTCTATATCTCTGTTTGGGTACCAGTATCATGCTTTTTTGATTACTGTTGCCTTGTGGTATAGTTTGAAGTCAGGTAGCATGATGCCTCCATCTTTGTTCTTTTTGCTTAGGATTCTCTTGGCTATGAGGGCTTTCTTTTGGTTCCATATGAAGTTTAAGGTTTTTTTTTCCAGTTCTGTGAAGAAGGTCAATGGTAGCTTGATGGGGATAGCACTGAATCTATAAATTACTTGGGGCAGTATGGCCATTTTCACAATATTGATTCTTTCTAACCATGAGTATGGAACATTTTTCCACCTGTTTGTATCCTCTCCTATTTCCTTGATCAGTTGTTTATAGTTCTCCTTGAAGAGATCTTTTACATCCTTTGTTTATTGTATTCCTATGTATTTTATCCTCTTTGTGGCAATTGAAATTGGGAGTTTGCTCATGATTTGGCTCTCTGCTTGTCTGTTGGTGGTGTATAGGGATGCTTGTGATTTCTGCCACATTGATTTTGTATCCTGAGACTTTGCTGAAGTTGCTTATCAGCTTAAGAAGGTTTTGGGCTGAGACAATGGGATCTTCTAAATATACAATCATGTCATCTGCAAATAGGGACAGTTTGACTTTTTCTTTTCCTAATTGAGTGCCCCTTATTTCTTTTCTTGCTTAATTGCTCTGGCTACAACTGCCAATACTATATTGAATGGGAGTGGTGAGAGAGGGCATCCTTGCTCAGCACCATGTCCCACTTACTCTAAAATTGACCACATAATTGGAAGTAAATCACTCCTCAGCGAATGCAAAAGAATGGAAATCATAACGAACAGTCTCTTAGACCACAGCACAATCAAATTAGAACTTAGGATTAAGAAAAGCATTCAAAACCACACAATCACATGGAAACTGAACAGCTGTTCCTGAATGACAAATGGATAAACAGTGAAATGAAAGCAGAAATAAAAATGTTCTTTGAAACCAATGAGAACAAAGACAACGTACCAGAATCTATGGGACACATTTAAAGCAGTGTCTAAAGGAACATTTATAGCAATAAATGCCCATATGAGAAATAAGGAAAGATCTAAAATTGACACCCTATTATCAAAATTGAAAGAGTTAGGGAAGCAAGATAAAAAATACTCAAAAGCAAGCAGAAGACAAGAAATAACTAAGATCAGAGCAGAATTGAAGGAGATAGAGACACAAAAGCCCTTCAAAAAGTCAATAAATCCAAGAGCTGGTTTTTTGAAAAGATCAACAAAATAGACCACTAGGTAGACTAATAAACAAGGAAAGAGAGAAGAATCGAATAGATGCAATAAAAAATGATAAAGGGGAGATGACCACCGATTCCTAGGAAATACAAACTACCATCAGAGATTACTACAAACAGCTCTATGCACATAAACCAATAAATCTGGAAGAAATGGATAAACTCCTGGACACTTGCACACTCCGAAGACTAAGCCAAGAAGAAGTTGAAACCCTGACTAGACCAATAACAAGGTCTGAAGTTGAGGCAGCAATTAATAGCCTATCAACCAAAAAAATTCCAGGTCCAGATAGGTTCACAGCCAAATTCTACCAGACGTACAAAGAGGAGCTGGTACCATTTCTTCCAAAACTATTCCAAACAATGCAAAAAGATGGAATACTCCCTAATTCTTTCTATGAGACCAACATCATCCTGATACCAAAACCTGGCAGAGACACAACTAAAAAAGAAAACTACAGCCCAATATCCATGATGAACACTGATGCAAATATTTTCAATAAAATACTGGCAAACTGAATCCAACAGCACATCCAAAAGCTTACCCACCATGATCAAGTAGGCTTCATCCAGGGATGCAAGGCTGGTTCAACGTATGCAAATCTATAAACGTAATCCAACACATAAATGGAAACAGACAAAAACCACGTAATTTTCTCAATAGATGCAGAGAGGGCCTTCGACAAAATTCAACAGCGCTTTATGCTAAAAACTCTCAATAAATTAGATATCAATGGAACTGATCTCAAATTAATAAAAGCTATTTATGACAAACCCACAGCCAATATCATACTGAATGGGCAAAAACTAGCACATTTTAAAAGCACATTGAAAAAAACTTGTCATTTGATAACGATTAATGCATTTATTAATAGATGGCCAATGGCTGCTAAATTATGAAAAAAGTTTTGAGATTTCAGTACTACAAGAAAAGTCCACTGCTATTAAAGTTAAAAATCTGAAATACATTCTTCTGAAAGTTGCACTTTAAAAATATTGATTGCAGAATATCAAGCTGAAGGATTCTGTTACATGATAAGTTCTCTAGCTTTAATAAGTTTACAGAGGTCTCCAAAAATGTAATCAATTTTTAATTCTCTGTTTAAATAGGCCATAGTATCTGTACATATTATTTATGATAATGGTCAAACTGTAATTCACTTATATTGGCCTCTAGAATGTTTGATACATTTTAAGGAATGTGTGATAATTGATTTGCTTCAAATTCCTTTGCTTAACTGAATACTAAAATTCAACTATAAGCTAGCAAGTAATGAAAGGATTCTAGGGAATAGTAAAAGCAATGTTTAGCCAGGATTTAAATATTCAATAGGATAATCTATCCAATTATAATTTTGACTATAATCAAGGTTAAAAAATAATGTACCTATCAATAAAGTGAACTACTATGAAAGAAATAGAGTAGCTCTACTAGGATTATTCAAGCCTGTCCTTCTAAAATCCATTGTTTACTTTTCATATTATTAGAGAGGTTTAATATGATATTACCTCTAATCTTTCAAGTACCCTCTCAGATAAATCTAATTATTTCCCAGAAGTGGCTTGCAACTGAAAGAAAAATGTAGCAGAAAAATTTATTTATCTGTCTAGATACATTTAGTTTGTAAAAAAAAAAAAATCCTCTTTATTCTTCTGTAAAAGAAGACTCAGATGAGGAATCAGGTATATTAAAACTTCCTGGAATGGGAAGGGGGATTCCAAAATTCGAGAGATCCCAGACAATTCTTTTTTTGTTTTTCTTTTTTTTTTTTTTTTTGAGACAGAGTCTTGCTTTGTTGCCCAGGCCAGAGTGCAGTCACTCAATCTTGACTCATTGCAACCTTCATCTCCCAGATTCAAGCAATTCTCCTGCCTCAGCTTTCCGAGTAGCTGGGATTACAGGCAAACACCACCATGCCTGGCTAATTTTGTATTTTTAGAAGAGACAGGGGTTTCACCATGTTGCCCAGGCTGGCCTCAAACTTCTGAGCTCAGGTTGTCCACCCACCTTGGCCAACCAAAGTGCTAGGATTACAGGCGTGAGCCACTGTGCCTGGCCCCAGACAATTCTTTATTAAACTTCTAAGAGATGCCAGAAGATTTCCACACAAAAACATACAGGTGTTTTTGGGGGCATCTCAGCGCATGTTTGTGACTTGAAGGCTTATCAGTGTTCCTCTCACCTGGCCCTGAGGTCTTGGCCCACAGTATCGACAAACCTTTGTGTCTCAGCACTCACACTGACTGACTGAACACAGCCATGCTGAAGAGGTTGGATTGTTAAGAAAGGACTGATTTCAAATGTAGGTGCAATCACTCCCTGAGGATATGGGAAGGCAATGCAGAGACAGTGTCTTGGTTATGAAAGTAGAAATCAGCAGCTGTGTGTGTGTGTGACCACCTGAAATTCCAAACTTAGACCACTGACATGGTTGTCTAAGACACTACTTTGCCCTATGTGTTACAATTTGGATGTCTGCTCCACAACTCATGTTGAAATTTAATTGGTAATGTAATGGTATTGGGAGGTTGGGCCTATAAGTGGTGAGGAGGTCATAAAGGTCCTGCCCTGATGAATGAATTAAAACTGTTATCCCAAGGGTGGGTTTGTTATTGCAGGTGTGAGTGCTTGGTAAAAGGATGCGTTTGACCCAATCTCCTCTCTGTTTTGTGTGCTCACTTCTGTCTCTGCCTTCTGCAATGGGATGACCCTGGCAGATGTTGGCACCATGCTCTTGGACTTCCCAGCTTCCAGAATCATGAGCCAAATAAATATCTTTTCTTTATAAATTACCCAGTCTGTGGTATTCTGTTATAGGTACAGCAAACAGACTAAGACACTGCTGCTTTAATCTCATTTGTAAAATGTAGAAAGTATGTGACTTCATTGATTGTAGATCCATCATTTATGATGCTCTCTGACCAATATCATCCTAAAGCTCAGCCTTCTGACACTTAACAAATGCTTTGGTTAATTTCGATCCCAGTTCTTCAACAACTGACTAACTTAAGAAAGGGATGGGGGCTCAGGAACAGGGTGTTACTCTGAGTTCTGAAATTAGGCAGTAATTCACATTTTTGGATTATCACTGAAATCCTTACCACAGATGTCTTTTCTCCTGAAGTAGAATAGCTTTGGGTAAACTATCCTCGCTCATTCATTCAGGCCTGTTTGTGATCCATTGCAAACAATTTAATATAGTTCCTAAGGTTAGAGGTAGTTTTTGGAAGATGGTTCCAAGTTTTATACATTTTTGTATCCCTAGAATGAATTAATAAGAAAATATTAGACTGTATAGCCAATCCACTCATTCATTTGATTCAACAAATATTTATTGAGAGTTGACTATGTGCCAAATGCTATTGTAGATGTTTGGAATTTATCATTAAATAAGATAATAACTTTCTTTGAAGAGATTTCATCCTGGAGGGGGTTTGCAAACAGACAATGCACATAATAAATAAGTAAAGTATAAATATTGTCGGAAGCTATACAATTCTACAAGGTACAAAAGAATGAGTCAGTCAGGATCAGGGGAAGGGATGCAGAAGAGTCAGGAAACAAGGACTTGAAAATGGTGAAGGAGTTGGCCAGCGAGACATCTGGGTAACAGCACTCCAGACACAGCACAGCTAGAGGAGGGACCTGAAGGGAACCTGACATATTCAAGCAGCGAAGCCAACGTGGCTGAAGGAAAGTGCATGTGGGAAAAATGGCAGGACATGAGGTCAGAGGTTAAGGGCCCAGGTCGTGGAATAACTTGTAGGCCATTCAAGACTTTGGCTCTTACTCTGTGTAAAAATAGGAAGCTACTGAAGAGTTTTGAGCAGAGCAGTGGCATGATCCTATCTAAGGTTTTTGAAAGCAATAACCCTGGTTGCTGGCTGAGAACAGACTACCAAAATTGAGAATAAAGTAGGGATATTAAAAAGTCAAAAAACAACAGATGCTGGTGAGGCTGTAGAAACAAGAATGCTTTTACACTGCTGGTGGGGATGTAAATTAGATAGTGTGGCGATTCCTCAAGGATCTAGAACCAGAAATACCATTTCACCCAGCAAACCCATTACTTATACCCAAAGGATTATACATCATTCTATTATAAAGATACATGCATGTCTATGTTCACTGCAGTACTATTCACAATAGTAAAAACATGGATTAAACCCAAATGTTCATCAATGATGGACTGGAAAAAGAAAATGCAGTACATATATACCACAGAATACTATGAGGCCATAAAAAGGAATGAGATCATGTCCTTTTTAACTTTATTTCTTCTAAAAAAAAACCAGGATATGTATGCACAAAGTGTATACCTTGTTACACAGGTATACGTGTGCCATGGTGGTTTGCTGCACCTGTTGACCCACCCTCTAAGTTTCCTCCCCTCACCCTCTACACTCCAATAGGCTGTGGTACGTGTTCTTCCCTTCTCCATGTCCATGAATTCTCGATGTCCACCTCCCACTTATAAGGGAGAACACGTGGTGTTTGGTTTTCTGTTCCTCTGTTTGCTGCTGCTGATGGTTTCCAGCTTCACCCACATCCCTGCAAAAGACATGATCTCATTCCTTTTTATGGCTGCATAGTATTCCATATTGTATATGTACCACTTTCTTTCTTTCTTTTTCTTTCTTTCTTTCTTTCTTTCTTTCTTTCTTTCTTTCTTTCTTTCTTTCCTTCTTTCTGTTTCTTTCTTTCTTTCTAATCTTTCTTTCTTTCTTTCTTCTCCTTCTTCTTTTTTTTAATTCTACTTTAGGTTCTAGGATACATGTACAGATCATGCAGGATTATTTCATAGGTATACACATGGCAATGTGGTTTGCTGCCTCCATCCCACAGTCACCTACATCTGGCATTTTTCTCCCCATGTTATCCCTCCCTGACCTCTCCACCCCCTACCTCTGCTGTCCCTCCCTTGGCTCCCCCAACAGACCCCAGTGTGTGATGCTCCCCTCCCTGTGTCCATGTGTTCTCATTGTTCATTACCCACCTATGAGTGAGAACATGCTGTACCACATTTTCTTTATCTAGCCTATCATTGATGGGCATTTGTGTTGGTTCTGTGTCTTTTCTGTTGTAAACACTGCTGCAATAAACATACGTGTGCATATATCTTTATAGTAGAATGATTTATATTCCTTTTGGTATATACCCAGTAATAGGATTGTTGGGTGAAATATATTTCTGGTTCTAGATCCTTGAGGAATCACCATACTATCTTCCACAATGGTCAAACTAATTTACATTCCCGTCAACAGTGTAAAAGTGTTTTATTTCTTCATAGCCTCACCAGCGTCTATTGTTTCCTGACCTTTTAATCATTGCCATTCTGACTGGCATGAGACGGTATCTGATTGTGGTTTTGATTTGCATTTATCTGATGATCAGTGATGTTGAGCATTTTGTAGCCAACAAACATATGAGATCATGCCTTTTGCAGGGACATGGATGGAGCTGGAAGCCATTATCCTCAGCAAATTGGCACAGGAACAGAAAACCAAACACTGTGTGTTCTCATTTAAAAATGAGAACTGAACAATGAGAACACATGAACACAGGGAGGGGAACAACACACACTTGGGCCTGTCAGGGGTGCAGAGGGAGGGAGTGCATCAGGATAAATAGCTAATGCATGCAGGGCTTACTACCTAGGTGATGGGTTGATAGGTTCAGCAAATCACCATGGCACATGTTTACCTATGTAACAAACCTGAACATCCTGCACATGTATTTCAGAACTTGACATAAAATAAAAATAAAAATCTTAAAAAAGAGAATAAAATAGGGAGGTGAATTAAGAGGCAATTGTAGTAATCTGGGTGAAACAGTTTTAAAAGGTTAAGTCAGCAACCTTGGTTCCCCCATCAATTAACCCATCATGCTAACTAGCCCAGATTGATACTACTTTATATTTATACCAAAGACATCTGGTTAAATTAAATAGCACTGCTAATTAATTTTCACCTGGAGATATGTTCAGGTATTTTGTTAGTTCTTACATTTTCTAAACAGGTGGTACACTGAATGGACACCAAATTCAATAACAAATTCCAATAAGAATCATCAGGACTAACTTATCCAAAAGAAACATTCAAATTAACATCAATCAGTAATAGCAAATAATGATCTACATTATCTTGTAGTGATCTTATCTTGACTAAGGAATGATATTCCCATTTCTTTCTTTTATAGAATTCGTGATGTACTGCTGTCTCTATTGAACTCTTCAGTATATCTCATTCCAAAGAGAATGGTCAGAAAAATATTGTTTCATTTGGGTCATGGATACATGCTGTACATTCCACTCTACTCACCCATAGCTTACTCATGACAGAGCCTCTAGATAGAGGCAGGACAATTATATAATCAATGAAGAAAATATGAAAAGACAGATAAAATATTTGCTGATGTTTTATAAAGAAAATTCGGTCCATTTCTTTATTGGTCAAAGGTAGTATTCTCATTGTTTTTTCTTTTTGCTGTACTGTATCTTTGTTAGCTGTTTTGTCCTTCAAGAAAGGACCTGTGGTGGTAAGGACTGAAAAGTTGACTGTGTCATCATCTTACAGATGAATTCTGTCTAAAGTGAAAAGTCACCAACAGATTTACATTGATATTGTATTGTTCCATGTAGTATTCTGTAAAAACTCTGTGCCTTCTTGAACAAAGATTTCACCTTCAGTTTTAAGCACATTTCAACCAATCATAGTATCAGACACTTCCAGTAGGAGGTTAATAAAAATTGGTAATATGGACAATATTCCCACCATAGACAAGATTTACCATATATTTTTTAGAAGCTTATAGAAGATACCTTGACCTAGTTTTGATCTACTCCATAAATGGGTTTTAGTGGACTTGAAAGTCCCTAAAATTATTCACAAAGTTGTGGATCTGTTAAATGATTCAGTAGCTTTTGTCAGAACTTCAAAGGCATCCATAATGACACTTCCCCTCAAAATTTGTTTTAAAAACCTTAAAAAAGACTGACACAGAAATATGCAAAGATGGTGTTTTTAAGGGTTATTCATATTTAGGGAGAGTCCTCTCCCTAACTTATGGACAACTTATGGACAGTGATTGCTTGCAAAATTTAGTTCTGTTTTGATTAAAATGGACATTTTTTCTTTCACATCTTAAATTTCCAGAGAACATATTTTCTTTTACCAGTTTAATGTTGCATAGTAAGATAAACTTTAACTTATTTCAACCACATTTATGAGCACCCACTCTACACTGGAGGATATGGTGATGCCACAAAGATATAACACCAGGTTCCTGCCCCTGAAAATCCAGTCTATCAGGAGAGATGGAGACACAGCAAATGATCACATACAGTGAGAACACCCCACAAGGGAAATGAATTCAAGGGAAGTTTTGTTCTCAAGATAATTGAATTCTGCCAGAGGTTATTAAGACTGGGAAGGTGAATAAGTTTTTCCAGACACAGGAAGAAATCAAGAGTGTTCTGAGCACAACAAACAATGGCTATGAAAGCATGAATGTTCAGATGGTGGGAACACAGGCTTTGAGGAAGGCTTGGCTGAAGGGAAGTCTGGACTTTGTCAGGAGGCAAAGAATCTGTGCATGTTAAGTGATGAGGAAGTATTGAAAATGTTAAGACAGAGGAAAGATATCATCTGCATTATTTTAGAAGTTGATCTTTGGTGATAAGATGAGGACAGATTGAAAATATAATAGGAAGCTGCCCCAAAAAGGCGATGTGTTGCATTAATAACATAATAAGGTTTTTGCCTCTTTTCTAGAAGTTGTCCTGTTTTGT